AAATGAACACCTTACCCCGTAAATTGATAGCCGAGGTGTGACTACGAATTCACTTTGCTTTTATTCCTCCGAATCCTTTTTGAATGGCTTTGCGCTATCGTTGGAGTACACACGTGCTGCTTTGTTGCGATCTTAGCACCGACGAAATTCTTTTGATACGACATCTCTCTTACACCACTGTCAGTATTTGCGCTGAGTCACTGACGTTTATAGGAATTCCACCGTTCTAGATGACCCTCCAGCGCCATGGATAGGCGTCGGACACCTTTTCTCCCGCCGCGGTGGCTCAAGTGCCCCCGCGTGGGCAGCATGCTCTTGGATCTTTTCATCCCCTGCAAAACCCCGCTGGACTCAAAATTTAGCCAAGTTATTGACCAGGAAGATGTCTTTGAACCGGACAACCTCTTCGAATACGTAAAGCCGGTGCGTCTGCTGTCGTGCTAATCCATCTTTAATCTTTATTTTTTAAACTTTCTGGAGCAAGTTAGAACTCGGGTTCTGTGTCTTTGTGTGATAATGGTCTCTCTTTGTGTAGGCCTGCCTTGGGCTGATAATCGACCTCACCAAGAGCTCGCGCTTTTACAACCGCCGGGAAATTGAAAATCGTGGATGTAAGTACGTTAAGATTGCCTGCAAAGGCAATGAGGAGACGCCGACACTGGAACAAGTGAAGTTGTTTATCAGCCTGGTCAACAAGTTTGAAGAGAACGAGGCCGGAGAGGGCAAAAAAATTGGTGTCCACTGCACTCACGGATTTAATCGGACCGGTTTCCTGATCGCCGCCTACCTTGTTGAGGAAAGAAACTTCAGGTTAGTCCTCAACCGTTCCTTTTTTCGGCAGGCATGACGTTTGGATTTTCTCCCCTGAGGCACCCCCCCTCTTTCCTGGTTTTGTTCTACCAGTCTCGAATGTGCTCTCCAGCTGTTCGCCGAGGCCAGACCACCCGGCATCTACAAGGCGGATTACTTGAAGGAGTTGTTTGAAAGGTACGGCGATCCAGATGACTGTCCGGCTGCACCACCTCTCCCTGATTGGTGCTTTGGTAAGCAAGACAACTGTTGGAGCTAGCTTCTGTCAGCGAAGATATAATATTTGTTCGACGATCAAGAATCTCTGTTTTTTTCGTTTGGTAGATACAGATGCTTGGGTTAGGGTAACTGAATCCTCTTATCCGATTTATGGTGTAACCAAAAAAGTACGTGAGGTTTTCGTCGAAGTTCGACCCAATGACTTGGCACATCTTAGTGAGACTTTTTGGGTTCATGTGTTTTATATGTTTCATGTAGCACAAGTAGGCGTCAGTTAATTGGATCACCTTGTTATGTCATTGCCTCGTGTGTTGAGATTTTTCTCTTATTTTATAGTGTTCTTTGACTAGCGTGTAATCCGACCATATTTGACTTACGAGTCTAAAGTTGGGTCAAAGATATGTGTCGTAAGATATGTGTGTGTCAAAATTGCCCCCCCCCCCAAAACGGTCCACCTGGTAGATGTGCTGGACCAACACGGGGGCCATATCTGATTCTAGCAGGCGTTATCGGAATGCACACCACAACAGATGCCAACATTTCGGCGTGCTGTGGCAGGTCCGGCTGCACGCAATCGCTGCGCATAGTGAGACCCCTGCCGCCCCCAATTTTTGCTGTTAGTTGAAAATCCTGGTCATTCGCTGTGTAGACCAGGGGCTGTGGAGTGGAGCTCCAAGGTGTGCGCTAGACCGTGTCATCCGCCTGCGCCTCCGGTCTTCATGACTCTGTCTGGGCACCGAGTCCAAATGAGGATGGAGGAGGAAGTGCGGTAGATGCTGTGCAAGCCTACTACCATTATAAAAGGACGAACAGCACAGAGGGGGTTTAAGCAGTTTTTCTCTGGTTATGTTCGTGAAGACCCTCTGGGATTTACGACGGAAATTTGCGGGATGCTGGTAAAATAGTAAGATTACCATGTCAATAATTCTCGGAATTTTCTAAAGGAAATGACGAAACAGTGATTTCTTTACTGTAGTAGCAAGCAAACGTTACATTAACTGTCATAAAGTGGTCAAATAGCACACATTTCCAAGGCGCCGCTGCGCTCCTAGAGGATTGTGGTATGTGTATAGTAGACAGTTGTCAGCACCGTCCACTATGGGTTTGTCGACGAAGGCCGAACAATTACGACCGAGACCCGCTCAATACAAAGAGAACGTGTAAAGGATGTGTTGTCTTAGAAACGGTCGAGACTAACTAATCGGAAGGTGTTATTCTTGCAGGGCAATTCAAATCCTCATGCTGCGAGACTTGCCTGGTAAAAAAATGAATGTATTGGGATGAGAAATTGCATCTCACACTCCACATTCTCTTGACATTTCTCCAATCGACAGTCACCTTTCCTGGGTACCAAGTAACCAAATGGGTAGTAGACAGTCTTGCAAAAGAGAGGGAATTAAAGTAGGGATCGGTAGGTCTAAGGAAGAAACTTTCTGCAGAAAACGGGATTCGCAAAGCGGTATCTCGTTGGTAGGTGTCTAAGATCTTGTAGGTGATTGTTTTAGTAAATAAGACTTTGTGAGGATGTGTGCCTTTGTTTGGTTTGTAATATACAGAATAGCACGAGTTTTTGTGTACCTGCTATGGTACTCCGATCGCGGAGGTCAAAGCAGATGTCCGTTTTGATTTATTGTGCATCGACTCGTTTTGCATTTCGGTTCGTATTACCTCCCACGCTGCATGCTTATCGCGTTGTTTGTTAATGAAGTCGCGGATTAAGTAGGCATGAGTTCCAGGCAAAACTAAACGACATGATAGTCAAGGAGGGTGGAGGCCGCCTTTGGCTGTAGTTAGTCGAACATACCATAGCCCAAGGTCCACAGGACCCGGGCTTTGTGCCATAGGCATGTGCTGTTCCTCTTGCCGAATAACTTTCCCAGAAGACCTACAGTCAGTCCGCCAGCATGGCATTACTTGGACACAGGTGTTATTTTGATCCTATTTGTTGATAACTGACCTGCTCATTGTGACATCAAGGAAGGGGACTCTTGATGACATAAGTTACGAAGACGTTTCCAGTAGGAAAACCACTGTGCCAGCAGTTCACCTTCACCGGTTCGAAAGGCTAACTTAAGTAGCGTTGTAGTATTAATGGTCCTGCAGTAGAATCCCAAGATATTTCAAATGTCCTGCCGGTCGTCTGCAAAAACTACATTCTGTAAAAAATGACTACCTAAGTAGTATGAAATTTTCATAATGATTTTCGACGCTCGTATAAATTCAAATATATTTCATAGAAAACATGCAAAAATATATTCGTTCATATACTCGTTTGGTAGCAAGTGCGTCATATCTGCGACTATCTCTGATGATGGGTTCGAGTGAGGATCCGAAACGTCAGGCCAATAAATTTCTTGTTCCACTGATCGCATCTTCGTCTTCTGGAATGCGTCCTTTTTACATTTTGTACCTGAAGGAAGAGTATAATTCGATTTTTAAAAACTTAAATTCTCAAATAATACTGAATTCGGTCCGTCGTGCAGGGTTCCCAAAGTACAAACTGTATATTTTCCGTGTGAGGAAAATCACAAATTTCTATGCACTAAAGAGATACTATATGGGGCTCATAAAATTTTACAGTGAAATTGAGCAATGTAGCATACTTTGCATGCATCATTAATAAATGCAGAGATACAGTAGATGTGCTAGCTCTTGAAATGTTAACCGAAATTCTGAAATGTGTTTTCGACTCGAAAAGATGACTTAAATAGGATTGTAATGTTAATTACCATGCAGCTTAATCCTCAGGTATTTCAGTTACTTGGCGATGTTGGCTTTTGAGCGAACTTGTTTTCGGTCCCCTGAAAAACTACACTCCGCCAAAAATGACTACTTACGTTGTGCGAATTTTTCTCATTGATTTCAGACGCCCTTATAAATTCAAACATACTTAATAGGAAACATGCATGAAAATATTCATTGTTTTACTCATTTGGTAGTAAACTAAGTCTTCGTCGAATCTTACACTTAATTCGACTTTAAAAAGTTTCTAATTTCGAGATTTTTCAAGACCATGAAATTCCCGGTCATGAAACATCGTGTCTCTGCATTTGCTAATATAGCTTGTAATGTTTAAGATATGGCTCAAATCCACTGCTAAATTTTTTGAACCCCACATGGTCTCTTCATAATAGCATGCAGAAGTCCGTGATTTTCCGTACGCTGCAGGACTATCTGCGCCCAGCCATGAACTTTATTTCCTGATTGCACTCCCTATGTAACGCGTTCCTGCACGTTTGATCAAACGTTCTCCCGGGAACTACATAAATGACCACATTTTGTGCGGATTGTACATAATTGCACTTATGATCTCAGATGTGCGTAGAAAGGACCGTCTACCGTAACCTTCGCAGTTCCACATTGTAGAACGTTTTCTACAAACGAATATGTTACTGACGACATTTTAGTAACATGTGTGTTTAACATTAACATTGCATGTGCCGTTTTCAGTAGGGTCATCAAGGGCATTGCCTGTCACCCTAAATATACTATATACTATACTACTATACTATACTATACTACTATACTATATACTATATAAAAATTATACATCTTGTAGTCTGGAAACCCTGAATGCAAGTATAACGGCAGGTCGGGTTTAAAATTACACGGGAATCGAAAAAGTTTTTAAAAACCGTATTATACCCTTTCATCAAGTACAAAATTCGAAGTAGACGTAATTTTCTACTGAATGGGTAAAAGAATAAATATTTTTATACATCTTTCCCCTGAAATATATTTGAATTTATAAGTACATCGAAAATCAATGAGTAAAATCTATACTGCTTAAGTAGTCGTTTTTTTTACAGAGCGCAGTTTTTGCAGGCGACCCGGAAGAAGTCAGTTCAGAAGCCAACATCCCGAAGTAACTGAATTACCTTGAGATAATGTTACAGATGTTTAGTATTGCAACCCTTCTTCAGCAATCTTTTGGAGTTGAAAACTCAGTTCAAAATTTCGGTCAACTTTTCATGAGAGCAAATCCACTGTAGGTTAATATGCAATTCGCAATCAAAACGCCATATTTTCGAACAAAACTGATGTATGCCCTACCTGACACACGTAATTCCAAAACAAAATACTGGTACAGTTAACCAGTCTTTGTAGGCGCCACCAATGGCATCATGTTTAGTGCGTGAAAAGTCCCAAATGTTTGGAGGGATCATCCTGAGTCGCAGCTAGGTGCTTGGGTCTTCAAAAATGGCGATGCTGTTGCGTCAGGCTTATACTGAGGTCAAATATACGGGGACGATAACTTTGTGTCAAGTCAGTCAGTTCACCCTATCGGGTCTCCAGTGTAATATGCGGCATGCTTTTAAAACGTTATGACGCTTGAAGGCTTCCAACTGGTGGGCCAGCGTTCTTCTGGGCCACGCTGCAATGACCCCTTCTTATTATAGCCTTAAGTCACCTCTCAGTGACGCGATGTCCAAGTGATTGGCGTCAGGTCTGTTAAGAGGAAATAACCGTGTTTGGGCACCTTCGGAGGGAGGCATCATTTCAACCCTACACCCATCTTCGGTCATTTTTATATCGGTTTGCCACTGGTTAGTGCTGTGCCTGGTAAGGAACTGGGGTAAGTATATTGCAAGTCACTCTCACTATGAAATTAGTCCCACGAAATTCGCTGCTGTCCTCTGATAGTCCTGGCCGTAATTCATTACGACGAGCGAACAAAATACGGCAACTACTCCAAATTGTCTTATCCATCATCATGTAAATTCTCCAGTTGTTATCCCTGTCTAATGCTCAGTCTTCGTCTACATAGAGTATATTTTCATGACCTAAATATGATCTGAAGTGTTTTTTTCCCGCATACAGGAATCGATTAAGAAACATTTGGTTTTGTAGGTGACAAATCGACTTATTACTACGGTTTCTTTCCCTCGAGCCCTTCCTCTATTACCTTTTTGCTAGTTTTTTTTTCGACTTCTAATTGCGATCGGATGCGAAAATGTGGTTTCAGAAGACTCTTTCGGATCCCTCGCACAAACTCGAACTTCTGTTCGTGTGTTAGCTTTAACAGCAACCCCCCTCTCCTCAGTCTCTGCAGAGCCAGATCTTCCGTTGGGATCATATGGAAATATTGATATTTGTGAAAGTTAGATCATGCGACCTTTTGACAAGGAGTTTTTTTATCCAGGGGCTTGTAATGTTCAGTGGTTTCACGCACTTAGTGTGCCTCTTAAATCCCGAAAAAAGGGAGTGATCGTGTACCTCATGTGTGCGAAGTACAGCTCCTGTGTCAGTTATGCACGCCAAGCAGTCAAGATTACCCCTTCATCCCTTTTTGCCTGCCACGCCCTCAGTCCTTTCATACGGCAACATCTACCGGTGCGCCGACAAAGATGAAACAGCAATTAAGATAGGATCTGCTTCTCGCATGTTCATGCCTCCAGCCGGCTAAACCTAACAGGGGAAATGCGCATTCACCCTGTTCAAGTGGTCCCAGCATGGGTTCCAGCCAATAGATAATCACCGCCATCGTGCCGATATCTGCCAAAACCGCACCAAATATCAGTTTCTGTCAATCATATGGGCTATATATTCACATGAGAATAGGCAAACGCATAAAATAACTCCACCCTAGCACTGTCAACTTTTATGCCTAGGCGGTTTATGATGTTCCATTATTTGTGACTTCTCTGAACGCATGTTGCCGCCTAGTCTTCAGCTATACAAACGATACCTTTATGTCCACCACCAACATTTTTCGCTCACATTTTCTAGAGGAAGGTGATCACTCGAATGCACCCTCCTTGCTCAAGCGCCGTCACCAAGATAGTCCCAGAGATGATGAGGCTGATGGTGACTCCAAGGAGAGACGCCTCTCCGACAGTACTCCATCTTCATCCTCCGGTGGGGACGCTGTCGGAGGTCCCGAGGTTAAACTGTCCCACCGCGAGCGTCTCAACCTTCCGGCTCCACCTGGCCAGCCAAGGCTGATGTCCGGCGTGACCGGAGTTCGGACCTTGGATCAAACTTCCTTTGAAGCACATCACGTTCGCGAAGTCGCCGACGTTCTGCTTACTCTAGGTGCTGTTGCACCTAAGGCCACCACCTCAACTCCTGCCGCTGTGGAGGATGTTGATGATGTCACAACGACCTCATCGAATACAGAATCGACCTCCCTGGAGGGTATCAACGAACAAAGCCTGCGCAGCATTCCCCTCTTCATTCCCAACATCCAGCGAAGTCGGCCGCCGCGTTTCAGGGGCAGCCAGCCAGTCTCAATGACCAGACAGAATGCCCGTCTCATAGTGGATCGACCCTACGCTGTCACCTACAAGTCTGACGGCACTCGCTATCTCCTGCTTATCCACGGCCCGGAGAAGGTCTATCTCATAGATCGAGCTAATTTTGTCTACAAGGTGGAGACCTTGCACTTTCCATCTGCCAGCTGGCTGCACTCTGCCCTTCAGGCTCGCAAGGAGGGCAGGATCGTGAGTGACTTCCTGACAGAGCCGTCTTGTCATCTGGTGAACTGCCTCCTCGACGGAGAGTTGGTGGCTTTTGATACTCCTGATAGACCCTTCAAATTCCTCATCTACGATGCTCTGACCATCCAGGGCTATCCATGTGGCCGCATGCCCTTTGAGCACCGTTTGAATTATATTGAAAAGTATGTGGTGAGGCCGCGAAATGATGCCGGCCATAATGGCCTGGTGGACTTTACGACTCAGTCCTTCTCTGTACGCAAGAAGCCCTTCTTTCGTTTGGATCACGTAGCAGAGGTAAGAATGTGAAAATTCTCCGACCACTGTTGCCGCTTGCCCGTTCTAGTCTGTAGAACTACACTTCCAGAATTATAGGCAGTATTAACCACGGGTTATGTTCGAGTTTGGCTTGGAAACTAGCTTCCATAAGTCCTGTTGACCAGATACCGACTGACCTAATGCCAAGCTCAGCCTCCCTTTGGTTCCCGTTATTACTGTAGACTAGAAATCCAACACGTCGGTTTAGTCCAGCTGTATACAGCGTATTTGGTCAAGTAGAAACTCGCATCACTTCAAAAGCTGAAGTCAGCCCGGATATACGCTGTCTTAGGCGATGAATCTAACTAAATTTACTTTCTGATGTTAATGCATTACTTTGAAGTGTGGATTTAGCAAGGTTTTTCAGCCTTTTTACTTTATTCTGTTTAAAGCACACAATCTGTCTTATTCGAAACACAGCCACAACTTAGGAGTAATGATAAGAAAGACAGAAATATATAACTGTTGTAGCTAGGACCGTAGCAAGCACACGAGATGGAGAGGACGAACACATATGGATGCCAGAGTCAGAACGAGAATACCCTATAACGGGGCTTTATTCATCTTACAATTGACGTACTGGGACTAAAAAGAGAACTAGAAAAGTAGTAGGTAAGGTGGAATTTAGCCTGGGGCCTTTGTTAGCATGACATTCACCCCGGCCAACAAATGGAAGAATCGAGGTGTCAAAAATCGATAGGAAAAAGTTTGCATGGGGCAAAGTTCAGGCGTCTCTGTTAGGAAGACAGTATGGGTGAACACGTTGTTGTTGTTGTTGTTGTTGTTGTTGTTGTTGTTGTTGTTGTTGTTGTGGGGTTAATGTTTCAAGGTTATGCATACGGACATCGTCAGCGTTCGGTACACTAACAGGTGTTGCATCATTCTGTCCGTCAGTTGAAACGGTGCTACTTTCTTGCTTGGTAATGGGTGGGTGGTCAGGGGAAAGTGGGGAGAGATTTTCTGGTACCGGCGTGGCCGTCTCCTGGTGACAATCACCAACGTCCTTTTCACCGCTGGGAGCAATCAGTCGAACAGATACCGTTTCTTCTCTGCCATTACTGAATCGTATATGAGCATATTGGGGGTCACATTGGAGTAGTTCTACCTCCTCAACAAGCGGATCAAACTTAGATTGTTGTTTGCCCTTCTTCAGCAGAACTCTGCCAGGATAGGTAAGCCACATGGGGAGAGTATTGCCAGTAGTTGACCTCCTGTTGTAGACAAACATTCTCTCATGATGTGTCGCATTAGTGGCGGTACTCATAAGTGATCTAATTGAGTGTAAAGCGTCAGGTAAGAAGGATTTCCAGTGTGTGACGGGCAGATTTTGGGATTTTAGAGCAAGTAAGATAGTCCGCCATAAAGTTTGGTTCAGACGTTCGACCTGCCCATTTCCTTGGGGATTGTATGGAGTTGTTCTACTCGTCGCCACTCCCTTACTGCGAAGGAATTGCTGTACATCATTTGACACAAATGACGATCCCCGGTCGGTGTGTATGTACGAAGGCGTACCGAAAATGGAGAAGAGCTGGCACAAACATTTGATGACAGTTCCGGCAGTCTGATCAGGACAGGCAAACGCGAACGTAAAACGAGAATATTCATCAATAATCGTCAGCAGATAGCGGTTGTGAGTTGCCGACGGAAGAGGACCTTTGAAGTCGAGTGACAATCGTTCGAACGGCTGGGTGGCTTTGATGAGTTGGCCTTGTGTTTTAAAGAAACGGGCTTTGACTTCACAACAGGCCTGACATTTAGAGGCGACATTACGAATCTCTTCCATCTAAAAGGGGAGATTCCGAGCTCGAACAAAGTACGAAAGCCGAGAGACACCGGGATGACAAAGTGACTCGTGTAGTGCTTTCAAATCGACACTGGTTAGTAGGGCGCCACAGCAATTACGGGAAAGCATGTGCGCCGCTCGATCGGTAGACAATGTCAAATTTGAATGGTGAAAGTTCCAATCTCCAGCGTTCGATCTTATCATTCTTGACCATCCCTTTTTGCTGATTGCCGAAGATGAAGGCAACAGAACGCTCATCGGTGATGAGTTTAAAGTGATTACAGAGGAGGAACTGCTTCCATTTGCGTGTGGATTCCACTACGGCGTATGCTTCTTTCTCTATATCTGAATGATGTCGCTCATTTGGAGATAGGCTGCGTGAAAAGAATGCTACTGGTCGGACATTCTGATTCACTGTGGCAGCGATTGCGACGTCGGAAGCATCGGTCTCGACAACTAATGGGGTATCGTACTGAATAGTGGCCGCTGTGGCTTTCGCAAGTTCCTCCTTAAGAGCATCAAACGCTTCCATTACCTTCAATGGTAAGGGGAAAGTTCTGTTATGGATAAGAAGATGAATTTTATCCGAAAAGGGAGATATCCATTGTGAGTAGTATGCAAACAGTCCCACAGCTCATTGTTGAGACTTAAGATCTTGTGGAGGAGTCATTTCATGCAATGGCCTAAGACGATCCGGATCCGGCCTAATGTTGCCCTTGGACACCTCGTAACCAAGACGTTTAATTTCTTTAGTAGCGATAACACTTTTGGCTTCATTGAATGTTAGTCCGTACTTTTTAGCCACGCTTAGGAATTTTTGAAGGGTTGAATCATGCCCCGCGAGGCCGTCCCCACAAATAATGATATTGTCAACGTAGACGAAAATATTCTTCGGACGTTCGCGTGCAATCATGTCGTCGATGGTCCGCTGGAAGCACGCAACTCCGTTGGTCACACCAAACGGGATACGACAAAAATGATATAAACGTCCACAAACTTCAAAGGCAGTGTACGGTCTTTCCTCTACCCGGATGGGTATTTGGTGATAAGCGCTCTTGAGATCAAGAGGGCTATACGTGTCGTAGTTTGCAATACGTTCAACCATTTCGTCTATTCTGGGGGATGGGTAGGCATCTAGAAGTGTGTATCTGTTGATCGTTTGACTATAATCGACAAACATCCGCTTTTCGTGGTTTTTATTGGCTACAACCAAAACTTGGGCCCGCCAGGGAGATAATGAATGCTCAATTACACCCTCAGAAAGAGGGCGACGAATTTCTTCTCGTATAAATCTCTCATCCATATGGGTGTGTCTACGAGATTTAGTAGCGACGGGTTTGCAGTCCGGTGTCAGATTAGGAAACAAACGGGGAGGTTCGATGCAAGCGGCAGCCACAGAAAAAGGCGAGAACGTAGGCTTAAGTCCACCAAAAAGGATTTCGACGCTTTTGCGGAGTCGCAGAAAGTCATGTCCAAGTAAAACATCGGCGCACAAATTCGGCAAGACCGATAGCTGGACCTTCTTGTATATTGTACCTTTATATTTAATAGTGACAAGAATATGTCCTTGTGTGGCGCTGGTTAAGGCTGTAGTAGCCATGGATATCTTTGTACGAGAGTAATGAACCTTCCACTTATTTCGGAGCACCACTGAGGAAGAAATGTAACTTTCAGAACTACCTGTATCAATAAGGGCCTGAAAATGAGTCCCATTTATTTGTAATTCAACCACTGCTCTTGAAAGACAGTCGGTAACAGCAGCTGATGCCACGGCGGAAATGGAGGGATACATAGCGGAAGAGAAGGCTTTTCGGTTTCGTGCTGCTAAGCACACCTTTTGAAAATGCCCTTTTTTACCGCACCCTTTGCATAACGCATCGCGTGCGGGACACATAGAACGGCGGTGCTTGTCGTATCCACAAAAGAAACATTTGCAATGGAATGAAGTAGAAGCCACTAAATCAGGCTCTTTAATGGGACTCGGCGAAGCTTCACGTGGCTCGGTAGCGGCAGGGAATGAGGTCGTAGGAGGGTTCTGATACGATAGAGACTGTCTTTCTGCCAATTCCAGTGACCTTGCCTGATCAAAGGCAGTTTGGAAGTTCAAAGTCTTCTGCTCCAATAACCTCTGCCGAATCTGGTTCGATGAAAGGCCACTGATAAACGCATCTCTAATGGCATCATCGCGATTTTGTTCTGCCGTAACGGCTTTGAAATCGCAGTCCTTAGCTAAGGATTTTAGCTTTTGAGCAAACTGGTCGAGGGTTTGCCCGCCTTCCTGTCTGTAGGTTGCCAGAAGATGGCGGGCGAAAATTTCGTTTTAGGGTCGTAGGTAGAGACCTTGCAGCAATTTAATAGCTTCTTCATAACTGGAGCATTCACTAATGCATTCCCAGATTGTCGGAGAAACGTAGTTAGTCAGAACTTTTAATTTATCTGGTTTCAGGTTATCGATCGTGAACAAGAAATTTAAAAAGTGCGAAACCAATGACTCCATTGTTTAGAAGCGTCTTGAGCAGTTGGATCAGCATCGAATCACTCTGGCCTAAGGAATCCATCCATTGTGCAATTGTAAGATGAATAACTTGTTGTAGTTAGGACCGTAGCAAGCACACGAGATGGAGAGGACGAACACATGGATGCAAGAGTCAGAACGAGAATACCCTATAACAGGGCTTTATTCATCTTACAATTGACGTACTGGGACCAAAACGAGAAATAGAAAAGTAGTAGATAAGAGGGAATTTAGCCAGGGGCTTATGTTAGCACGACAATAACCCAGTAGGGGTTCGCACTAGTTGTAGACAGTAATCTTGAGCGAATGAAAGGCTTACATCTATGCATAGATGCGAGGGTATTTCAGCCAGTTGACCATCGTGTATCTAACGGTGGTTTACAAAAGGATGTGCACATGTTTGCTGTGAAGATTTCTGTGTTTATATTAACAGAGATGCGATTAGCTTTGGCGGGACGGATTTTGCTCAAATGCATTCATAAGAACGCGGCTTAAATGAGAGTTTTGGCAAGGCTCCACTTTAAGTGGCCGAGCAGGAATGAATAAATTGGAATATAACTAACAAATGTGACCGTATGCGACCCACGAATGCGCGTCTGACTTATCGTAATCGTGCCGGTCATTAGTTAGTTTCACCCAAACCCACGTTTACCGAGTTGAATCCTCTTTCTTTGGTCATCGAGCGTTATTGAG